GAGGGAAGTTAGACTGGATGATGCAATAGACCTTTTCCATCTCTATCTCCCTTCCAGTGCAGGAGGCTGGGGTGCCATCAGTGAAATTGAGAACAGAATTGGCCCCTCAGGCTGTGTCTATACTGAGCTTTTACTTAAAAATTTCCCACCAATGCACTAGCACTGGTGCAGTTCCACCCACGGGAGTATGAGTATAAACAGGCCACCATCATTTTTACTACTGTGTCGTCTAACAAGCTCAGAACAAGCCTAGACAACCTGGTAGTAAAAGTACCATCAGCCACCAGCGCCCAGTCTCTGCTGACATTCTTACCATCTGTCGTCACCTCCAGTGGAGTTGCACAAGTGAGGAACTTGAAGCAAAAGCTCAATGTAACAACAATCAGTGCGAAGGAGCTTCCTGACCAAAACCCCTACGTGTGTGAAAGCGCCTCTGGCTGCTTTGCAAATGAGCAGGCTAGGTGAGGGAGCGAATGATGAATGAAGGAGGTGATTGTAATGCCGCTGGCTTACTCATCACTCCTCTAGGGAGCCGTGTGCAAAGAAAGCACATTTGCCTGCCCACTAGGTGCTAAATTATATTGTAGGTGTATAATATCACGTAATTAAAAGGGATCAAACACAGAAGAGTTGCTTGAACCTGCAGGACAAACAGCACAGCCATTTTTTCCCCTTCATCAGCTAATTTGTACGTAAGCGGCAGCATGGTCTGGAGGAGAGAGCATGGGCCTGGGAGATAGATAGAGGTGCTTCTCATTCTGAGCCTGGTTCTGACATTAATTCGTTGTCTAGCCTAGGGCAAGAGTCACTTAGGCCACAATTTTCAAACCCGAGGTCCTATAGTTAGGCTGCTAATTCTATATTTAAGCACCTAGAAGTGACCCAATTTTCAGAAGTACCGAGTCCCTGTAGAGTCAATGGGAGCTGCAGGGGCTGAGTAGCTCTGAAAATTGGGTCATTTTCATACAGGTGCCTAACCTTCGGCTCCCAGGCTTAAAACGCTCTGCCATAATTGCCTCTTGCCTGCCCCTTCTACAAAAGGGGGGATAACCACACTTGCCTGCCTTACAAGGAATATTGTGCGGCTTTTTTAGTTAAGGTTCATATAATGCTTTGAAAAACAACACTGTAAATTCTAGATATGATTATGTGATTTATAGTGGTGTTGCCGGCCCAGAGGACCTGAGGGGGCAACAGGGGTTCGTTGCCCGGTGTGCGTCGCACCAATAGACACACCAGGGTGGAGAAGCAAACCAAGTTTATTCGAGATCTCGAAAAGGCACTCAGGAGACCAGCATGTCTCAAATCAGAAGCGCAACAAAGACAAGCAAGTTTCCCATTTTATATTCCAAGCTGTGTGTGTGCAAACCTTTGTTCTGTTCCTCTTTACCCCTCCCTTCCCAACAGCAGTTACAGCAAGCAGTACGTTGTGGTGTGTTAGAAAAGTTCTCGTCCGCATGCTTATCTTTGGCCTTGCAAGCTAAGACGTAGTAGGCTTCTCCCTCTCCCTTTCCCCCTCCTTATCACAACTGCTTGTGCTAGTGTGAGCAAAACTGCAGCTGTCTGCTAAAAAGCTGCCCGTTACATATTCTGCTTCAGCATTTAGGCTGTTAGCATGGAGGCTGGTTAAAGTTCACAAGATGGAGTTACTGTGGCTCACTTAGACCCAGAGCAGGGGGGTTTCATCAGCACTTATGGCCTTCCATTCCCCCGAGTTACCTGGTAGCTATGCCTAGTGACACCAACAGTGGTATTAGAGTAGTGTTTTATAGTGGTATATATCTACAAACAGCCCTTAATTGCTTCTCTGGAGCTTACAAAAGCCTAGGGCTAACTCTGAACATCGGCAAAACAAAAGATCTCCACCAGCCAGTCCCCTGTTAATAATCAAACCCAGCAAGGAAAATCTACATTGACAGAGAAGAACTGGAAAATGTAGAAGACTTTGCCTATCTTGGCAGCCATCTCTCACAGAGGGCAGACATAGGCGTCGAGATTCAGCACAGATCCGCTGCACCAGCCTTGCCTTTGGCAGACTGTCTCGCCGGGTGCTCAACAATCACAACATCAGAACACACACTAGACTTTTAGTTTATAAAGCGGGCGTAATCCAAGTCTCACAGCCGTAGAGGAGAGTTGGGGTGACCTATAGAAAACACCTGAAAAACCTGGTATGTCAGCACCAGCGCTTTCTTTAGAAGATCCTCAACATAAAGTGGGAGGATCATCACACTAATGTCAGTGTCCTCACAGAGGCCAACATCTTCAGTGTTGAGGCCCTGATTATCCAGCACCAGCTGAGGTGGAGCGGGTACTGTGTGCGCATGCCTGATGTACGCTTACCAAAACAACTGCTGCACGCCCAACTCACTGAAGGAGAAAGGAAACAGTGCAGAACAACCCCCCTGCTCTAGCCCCTAGCTCACATGCCCAGTCCCCTTCAGAGCCATGTGACTGCAAGATGAACAGTGTTGCACACTTTAGAGGTGACATACCTAACATTCAGCTGGGGGTAGGGTGCAGGATGGCTCTGATCACTCCTGCATTGACTGCACTTTCTCTGGGCTGACGGCTGCTGACACTTCCATGTGAACAGACTGTGGAGAGTTATGGACATCTGACCAATGTAGCACTGGAAGGAGCATAAAGCTTCCCTAACCCGGGTTAAGGAGTAAGTGGCCAGTGGAGCAGGCTGGGCCATTCATTCCCGGACTGAGTACACATGGTTTTCTGTGCTATTGCCTGCTGCTGATCCGAACACATGACTGCCATGAGCTCAGAGTCCACTAACCTGAGGCAGCTCTGAGGAAGGAGTAAAGGAAGACAGGCTGTATCACTGCTGTGATGAGTGCACACAGTGCTCTGCGCTCATACAGACACGCTCTGGAAGGAGCCCAGAGCCCCTGGTGCATATGGAGCTGTGTGTGTCACTGCTGTGATGAGTGCACACAGAGCTCTGCGCTCATACAGACACGCTCTGGAAGTAGCCCAGAGGCCCAGGTGCTTGTGGAGCTGTGTGTGTCACTGCTGTGATGAGTGCACACAGAGCTCTGCGCTCATACAGACACGCTCTGCAGCCTGGTGCATGTGGAGCTGTGTGTGTCACTGCTGTGATGAGTGCACACAGTGCTCTGCGCTCATACAGACACGCTCTGGAAGGAGCTCGGCGCCCCAGGTGCATGTGGAGCGGTGTGTGTCACTGCTGTGATGAGTGCACACAGAGCTCTGTGCTCATACAGACACGCCCTGGAAGGAGCTCGGAGCCCCTGGTGCATGTGGAGCTGTGTGTGTCACTGCTGTGATGAGTGCACACAGAGCTCTGCGCTCATACAGACATGCTCTGGAAGGAGCCCAGAGCCCCTGGTGCACGTGGAGCTGTGTGTGTCACTGCTGTGATGAGTGCACACAGAGCTCTGCGCTCATACAGACACGCTCTGGAAGGAGCCCAGAGCCCCTGGTGCACGTGGAGCTGTGTGTGTCACTGCTGTGATGAGTGCACACAGAGCTCTGCGCTCATACAGACACGCCCTGGAAGGAGCTCGGAGCCCCAGGTGCATGTGGAGCTGTGTGTATCACTGCTGTGATGAGTGCACACAGAGCTCTGCGCTCATACAGACACGCTCTGGAAGGAGCCCAGAGCCCCTGGTGCATATGGAGCTGTGTGTGTCACTGCTGTGATGAGTGCACACAGAGCTCTGCGCTCATACAGACACGCTCTGGAAGGAGCTCAGAGCCCCAGGTGCATGTGGAGCTGTGTGTGTCACTGCTGTGATGAGTGCACACAGTGCTCTGCGCTCATACAGACACGCTCTGGAAGGAGCCCAGAGCCCCTAGCTCCCCGCATCCGGTGAGCGGGCAGGCGGGGCTCATCCCTGCCCGCGTTTCTCCCGCTGGGCTGCGCGCACCTGGCTCTGGCTGCGGGAGGGAGGAGGCGGGGCGGGGCGGTCTCTCGCCGGCCCGCGCGGTGCCCCGCCAGCCCCACGTGCGGAGCGGAGACCGGCCCCCGTGCCGAGGCGCCTGGCTCAGCAGTGCCCCGGGCAGGGGCCGGAGCGGAGCCGTGCGCAATGGTCGGGGCCGGCAGGGGCGGGGGTTTTGCACCCGCTCCCTCTCCTGGGCCTGGATAAATAAGGGGCCGCGGCCGCCGCCCCTGAGCAACTTCTCCTTCAGGCCCCCACATCTCTGCAAAGCCGGCGGCTGCAGCCAAGCGAGCAATGGACCCCCAGGACTGTCCCTGTGCGATCGGTGAGTGACCCCGCTCCCCATCCCCTCCGCCCCCTGCTCCCACCTGCCAGAGCCGGGGTCTCACCCGGGGCAGGAGCTCCCTTCCGCGCACTGTTGGAGGGACCGGGGAGGATTTTCAGCGTTGTCCGACCAGGACAGGCGGGCGTCTCCTCTCCCCGCGGGCTGTATTCTCCTTGCTAACCACCTGGCTTTCCGGTGTGCTTAACCTCTCCGACCCCTTCGTTATCTGCCGCGTTGTTTGTTCTCGAGCCCATAAACTCTCTTGTAAGGTGTCCAATTACCCTCTGGAGGCCCCCGAACTGTCAGAAATTACTAGCAACTCCTTGTTTTGCTCCTTGAACTAGAGATCAGAGTTGGAAGCAAAAGTGTAGCACCCTGCATTTAAAAAAACGAGTCTTTTCTATTTACTTTCAGTGGTACTGGGGCCACGTCTGCCATCCCTTGCGCATCGGGAATAGATTCGTCCCGGAGACCTGTTGCTAAACTTCCCTTAGACAAAAGAATTAAAACTGCACCTGCTGTCTGAGTTCTCTGGGGGCTGATGGTCAAGTTTCAAAGGCAGTGTGAACATGTGGCTATTTATAAAGATGGTTCGGGTCCTGGAATATAACTTTTGAGAACGGTCTGGCTTCTCCCCAATGTGTTGTCATGGGATATTTTCCCCTGGTTTGTTCATTTTAGGTGGCACCTGCACCTGTGGTAACAACTGCAAATGCACAAACTGTAAGTGCACGTCATGCAGAAAAAGTGAGTAGCTCAACAGATCTCAGTAACCAACCTAGCGGGTAGCATTGTATAATATTTACAGTCCCTGTATATATAACATGTGCAGTTCTCACTTTTTTTTAACAGAACCCATTGCTTGATACAGTAAGCCAAATGAGTCCTTGTGTGTGTCGTCCCCCCCCCCCCCCACACACACACACAAAACCCCCCCCGTGGTACATAAGGCCCCTTTTCAAAAATTTTTCAAAACAAAACAATACAA